CACTTTGTTGTACTGTGGTGGCTTGCGTGTTGCTGTGATGCTGGAAGCTATGCCACTGGTATTTCAAACACCAGTATGATCACCCATGGTGGACAGGTTTTAGCAGAGCATCCAGACTAAGACAGACTAGGAGGAAGGACCTGGAGCCTATTTCAGAAAGAAAAAAAAAGCCACTGAAATCCCTATGCATAGCAGTGGAACATTGTCTGATACAGTGCTGGAAAATGAGCACCTCAAGTTGGAAGGCACTCAAAATATGACTGGGGAAGAGCTGCCTTCTCAAAGTAGAGTTGACCTTAATGACATGGATGCAGTAAAGATTTGGGGACCTTCACTTACTGATAAAGGATGACTCAAAATGAGAAAAAGCAGCTGCAAACATCCATCAGTAATTGGAACGTGGGATGTATGAAATATGAATCAAGGAAAATTGGAATTTGTCAAAAATGAAATGGAATGCTTGAAGATTGATATCCTAGGCATTACTGAGCTGAAATGGACTGGTATTGGCCATTTTGAATCAGACAATCAAATGGTCTACCATGCCTGTAATGACAAACTGAAGAGGAAGGGTGATGCACTCATTACTGAAAATAAAATTTCAAGACGGATCCTGAAGTACAGCGCTGTCAATGATAGGATAATATCTACACACCTAAAAGGTAGGCCAGTTAATATGACTATTATTCAAATCACTAATGCCAAAGATGAAAAAATTGAAGATTTTACCAACTTCTGCAGTCTGAAATTGATCAAACATGCAATCAAGATGCATTGATAATTACTGGTGATTGGAATGCAAAAGTTGGAAACAAAGAAAAAGGATCAGTGGTTGGAGAATATGGCTTTGGTGATGGAAACAATGCCAGAGATCACACGATAGAATTTTGCAAGACCGATGACTTATTCATTGGAAATACCTTTCTCAACAACATAAATGTGACTATACATGAGGACCTCACCAGATGGAATACACAGGAATCAAATGGTCTACATCTGTGGAAAGAGATGTTGGAAAAGCTCAATATCATCAGTCAGAACAAGGCCAGGGGCTGACTGTAGACCTGATCATCAATGGCTCATATGCAAGTTCAAGTCGATGTTGAAGGAAATTAAAACAAGTCCACGAGAGCCAAATTACAACCTTGAGTACATCCCACCTGAATTTAGAGACCATCTCAAGAATGGATTTGACACATTGAACACTAATGACTGAAGACCAGAAGAGTTGTAGGATGACATCAAGGACATCATACAAGAAGAAAGCAAGAGGTCATTAACAAGATAGGAAAGAAAGAAAAGACCATAACAGATGTCAGAAAAGACTCTGAAACTTGCTTTTGAACATTGAGTAGCTAAAGTGAAAAGAAGAAATGATGAAGTAGAAGAGCTAAACAGAAGATTTCAAAGGATGGCTTGAGAAGACAAAGTAAAGTATCATAATGACATGTGCAAAGACCTGGAGTTAGAAAACCAAAAGGGAAGAACACGCTCAGCATTTGTCAAGCTGAAAGAACTGAAGACAAAATTCAAGCCCCGAGTTGCAATATTGAAGGATTCTATAGGCAAAAACTTGAATGATGCAGAAAGCATCAAAGAAGATGGAAGTAATACACGGCATCACTGTACCAAGAAGAATTGATAGACATTCAACCATTTCCGGAGGTGGCATATGACCAAGAACTGATGGTGCTGAAGGAAAAAGTTGAATCTGCACTGAAGGCATTGGCAAAAAACGAGGCTCCAGGAACTGATGAAACATCACTTAAGATTCTTCAACAAATAGTTGCAATGCTGGAAGCGCTCACTTGTCTATGCCAAAAATCTGGAAAACAGCTACCTGGCCAACTGACTGGAGGAGATCCATATTTGTGCCCATTCCAAAGAAAGGTGATCTAACAGAATGTGGATATTATGGTACAATATCACTAATATTACATGCAAGTGAAATTTTACTGAAGATAATTCAAAAACGATTGCAACAGTACATCGACAGAGAACTGCCAGAAATTCAAGCCAGATGTAGAAGAGGATGTGGAACAAGAGGTATCATTGCTGATGTCAGATGAATCCCAGCTGAAAGCAGAGAATACCAGAAAGAAGTTTACCTGTGTTTTATTGACTATGCAAAGGCATCTGACTATGCAGATCATAACAAATTGTGGATAATATTGCAAAGAATGGAAATTCCAGAACAGTTAATTGTGCTCGTGAGGAAACTGTACATAGACCAAGAGGCAGTTGTTCAAACAGAACAAAGAGATACTGCATGGTTTAAAGTCAGGAAAGGTGTGCATCAGGGTTGTATCCTTTCACCATACTTATTCAATCTGTATTCTGGGCAAATAATTCGAGAAGCTGGAGTATATGAAGAAGAACAGGGTGTCAGGATTGCAGGAAGACTCATTTAACAACCTGTGATATGCAGATGACACAAGCTTGCTTGCTGAAAGTGAAGAGGACTTGAAGCACTTACTGATGAAGAGCAAAGAATACAGCCTTCAGTATGGACTACATAAAATAAAAATCCTCACAACTGGACCAATAAGCAACATCATGATAAACAGAGAAAAGATTGAAGCTGTCAAGGATTTCATTTTACTTGGATCAATGCCCATGAAAGCAGCAGTCAAGAAATCAAATGACGTATTGCATTGGGCGAATCTGCTGCAAAGGGCTTCTTTAAAGTGTTAAAGCACAAAGATGTCACTTTGAGGACTAAGGCTCACCTGACCCAAGCTGTGGTATTTTAATTGCCTCATATGCATGCAAAAGCTGGACAATGAATATGGAAGACCAAACAAGAATTGACACCTTTGAATTATGGCATTGGCGAAGAATATTGACTATAACATGGACTGCCAGAAGAATGAAAAAATCTTTCTTGGAAGAAGTACAGCCAGAATACTCCTTAGAAAGGAGGATGATGAGACTTTGTATTAATACTTTGGACTTGTTATCAGGAGAACCAGTCCCTGGAGAAGGACATCATGCTTATTAAAGTAGAGCATCAGTGAAAAAGAAGAAGACTCTCAATGAGATGGATTGACACAGTGGATGCAACAATGGGCTCAAACATAGCAATAATGTGAGGATGGTAGAGGACCGGGCTGCATTTATTTCTATTGGACATAGGGTCTATATGAGTCAGAACCTAACCTATGGCACCTAACAACAACAACATTCAAAGCTTCACTCTGGGTGGTGTGTGGTTCTCAGCTGCATGGGCATGTTACCAAAAAAACTCATTGCCATTGAGTTGATTCCGACTCATAGCAACCCTAAAGGACAGAGTAGAACTGCCTCATAGGGTTTCCAAGGAGCACCAGTGGATTTGATTTGCCGACCTTTTGGTTAGCAGCCGTAGCTCTTAACCATTACGCCACCAGGGTTTCCATGGGCATGTTAGGGAGTATGAAATTCTAGGGAACCTCAACAAGATTAGTAAATGTTGTTTTTGTTAGCTGCCATCTAGTAGGTCCCAACTCTTGGTGATCTTTACCATCCAAGTAGACTTTACTATGCAAGAATCTACTACAACTTTCTACATTTTTACTTCCTACATGTACTTCCAGTTTTAGATTTTCCTCATCTATTTTCTCCTTTCTTTAATTTAGTATTTATTTACGTAACATACCAAATTATATGTGTTGCACCTAATTTGAAGATCACCAATATTTTCAGTAATAAATACAAATCAAAATAGTATTATAAGGGCCATCTTACTTTTTAAAAAACTACATCTCATTGTAGTCTGCAAATTCTCTTCCAATTTTGTTCTCTCTGTAGTTGCTCCATTGTCTGTAGTCCCATACACTATGTTCATTTCTCACATAATTTTACTTTAAAATGAAGGCTCAAATGGACTACTGTGTTTCATTGTGATTTATCTATTTACATGCCTTTGAATGGAATATGAGCTCCTTGATGGGAAGAACCTTATTTGTATACGTTTGATTTCTAGCACAGTGCCTGATACATAGTATGAGCTGATGCTGCTGAACGAATACATGCAATTTAAATATATAAGCAAATACATGTATCTAAATTTACAATAACACTCATATATATATCAAATATATATATAATGTTATTGCTGTTAGTTGTTGTCAAGTAGATTCTGACCTCATAGTAACCCCATGTGTGCAGAGTAGAACTACTGTACAGGGTTTTCATGGCTGTGACCTTCCAGAAGCAGATTGCCAGACCTGTGTTCCAAAGTGCCTCTGGGTAGGTTTGAACCATCAACCTTTTGGCTAATAGTCAAGTGCTTAACTGTTTGTGCCACCCAAAGACTCCAATATCCACCCATATTCATCCATATTAAATATCAATATTACATAGTTTCATATAGTTCACCACTATATTCCAAACGACAGTTCAATGACATACAAAAATTTCAAAATTATACACTTTGAATGCAACAAAATGTTATATATATCCACTATTTCATATTTTATAATAAAGTGCTAATTGAAGTTAATATATATATTCTACTTAACAGGCTATTTTACCACAAAGTAACTAAGGAACACTGCATAATGGAAAAGTCAGGTAAATTGTCTAGCACTGCATGTGTCTTTGGCTGTTCCTTTCTGAACCTGAATTTTCTGTAGCGTGGCGATTCCTAACCCCATGCTTGGGGAACTGGATTAAGGACTGGAGGTAATGTATGTTAAGGGCTTGGCACTGAGAGGGCCTTTAGTGAATGTAAACTAGGCCGTTTAGCAGTCACTTCATCTCTCTAGATTTCCTTCCTCAGCTGTACACTAAATAAAGGTGTTTAATTTTTCTACACATAGTGAGTCTTTTCTGGGCAAGGAAACCTACTCTGCTCTCAACTTTGGCAATTGAGAAAATCCAGGTAAAATGGTAAGGACACAAAATAACCCACTTTTCTAACGCTGAAGAATTGCTAAACCCGCAGGAAGTGCGGGGCCGACCTCCAGTATCCCAGCATCCCCTGCTCTGTTCCCGTAGCTCTTCCCCCGAGTCTCTATGGTAGCGCCGGCCTCCAAGGCGGTATCGGAGGCGGCGGCGGCGGCTGCTGGGAGGAAGAGTGAGAGATTCACTTTCTTAACTGGCCTGGTGGCTTTTGGCACAGAGGGTCGCGATGTCAGAGAAGAAGCAGCCCGTAGACTTGGGTCTCCTGGAGGAGGACGACGAGTTCGAGGAGTTCCCCGCCGAAGGTAACTGGCTGGGCCCTGCTGGCCTCGGGGCTGCGCGGCTGGTGACTCAGGCCTCTGTATGGATGCGACTCGGGCCTTCGGACCCGGCTCGGGACTTCCGCGGGAAGCCTGGACCTCAGCGGCCGGCTCCCGAGGCTCCGGACACGCGACCCTTCGCACCTCCCGGTCTCGGGGCCCAGGTGTCACGGTGGGACTCAACTAGCGAGGCCAAAGGGCTTCGGCTTCCTCGCTGGAAGGAGCCACGTTGATCCTGTTCAGTCCCCCCCTCCCCCCGGCCCTGTTTATGTCTACATAATGTCCTTTCCTTTTATTTTCTTTTGATTTCGTGGCGTTCCCTTGCCCTTAAACCTTTCCAAAATTAAGTTGTTTGTTGCACCTGGTTATGCCAATGCTGATTACTTTTAGGACGTTAGAAATGAAACCTGCTAAGTAGTATGATGAGAGTGCTTAATACACATATTGGTTACCCTTGTCGTTAATCATTTTTGGTCACTTACCTTCGAGCTAACTTAAGTTTAAGAGTTTATAAGATTTTAAAATGTGTACATTTTATTAGTTTCATGGTTACTTAGAGGACCTTAAGTTTTCTCATCGTAGTTGATAGCAAATAGCTACAGTTTATAATAGTTAACATTATCAAGTGGTTACCACGTTGTCAGGCACTTTTCTAAGTGCTTTAACTGTATTAATTTATTTCATTCTTAAACTCTACGAGGTAGTGGATACTGGTATTACCATTTTTCAGATAAAGAAAGTGAAGCTCGGACGGTTAATAAACTTGCCCAGTGCCACACAACTGGCTAAAAATTATGAAACTGTAATTGGGACACAAAGCCCTTAAGCTGCACTGCTTCAGTTTACTTGTAAGATAGCTGTTGCCAGTTAGATTTCCAGACTTACTTGCTTTATTGGCCGATGGTTATGAGTAGGATTCACGTATTTACGGTTATAAGAAGAAAAGGTTACTACGGGGTAGCCTTTCTGCAGGTGGCTAGTAGGAAGAGAACTGTGATTAATGGTGTACTTGTTTGTTGAATTAAGCAATTATCCCCTCACTAAAATTGTCATAAGTTGTACTCTATCGTGATCTTATGGTGCATAAAACCACATAGCTGGAATACTTGTTCTGTTTATTTATAGTTATAGTGTTCTCTATATAATTTAGTGGAAGAGAAATGAGGTAATAGTGGAGTGAGGTCTAAAACTGATATATGTACTCTAATTCATCTGAAACTTCAAACAATTTTTTATATCAGATAGATATTGGAAAGTTTTTAAAAAATACTTTAATTTCCTTTCTCTGACAATGGGAAATGGGTGAGAAGAAAACAAGGGTCCCTTTAGATTCTCTTCTTCTTCCTGTGTCACAATTGAGAATTTTTGTTTTTTAGAGTATTTAAAATGAAATTGAGTTTACCTCCAGAATTAATAGTATTTGTATGAAAATGCTGTTATTCCAAGTATTCTATAATTTTTCGGTAACCAGTGAAACTGCTATATAGTCTGAAGGAATCAGGTGCAGAATGCTACCTACCTCCCTACACTCCTGGAGAGACTGTAACTGATCGGAATCTGTTGAGGCGACAAAGGCTGGTGATCCCTTAATGCTGCTAGCATTCTGGAATAACTGAGGCGCTCTCACCTGTGCATAACAAAGTAGTACATCTTTTTTTAGTGGTTCTTAAGCAGGGGAGGTTTTTTTTTTGGTCGTCAAATTCACTTGATGGGAGGGAGTGTGAAGTAACTACCAGAATTTAGTAGATAGAGGCTGTGGGAGAAAGATGTAGAAATCTACTCCATAAAAATTACAGGCTGGAAAACCCTGTGGGGCACTTCTACTCAGTCACATGGGGTCGCTATGAGTCGGAATCGACTCGAACAACAACATGCACCAGTCCTGCATAATGAAGAATTGCCCTATGAAAAATGCCACTGAGAAACATCGACATGAACATTAGATACCACCTATACTAAACAGTCAATAGAAGGTTCCTTAGCATCTTAAATACAGAAGGTAGATGTAACAAATGTTATGTCAGATACTGCTCTAGGCTGTTTACCTAGTGCAGAAAGGGTTTTGATATTTGTAGTTGTTAAATGTAATACATTGTTGTGTGCTGTCCAGTCCATTTTCAACTCATAATAATCCCACGTGACTGAGTAGAACTGCCCCATTGGGTTTTCTAGGCTGTAATCTTTAAGGAAGCAGATTTCCAGGTCTTTCTCCCATGAAGCCACTGGGTTGTTTCGAACCACCAGCCTTTTGGTTAGCAGTCGAATGCTTAACCGTTGCACCACCACCACCACCACCACACACGAAAAAAGACCACTGCCGTCGAGTTGATTCCTACTCATAGCAACCCTATAGGACAGAGTAGAACTGCCCCATAGAGTTTCCAAGGAGGGTCTGGTGGATTCTAACTGCTGACGTTTTGGTTAGCAGCCGTAGCTCTTAACCACCAGGGTTTCTGTTGCAACACCATGGCTCCTTAAATATAATATACCTCCCCCCAAAAAAAAAAAACAAACGCACTGCGATTGAGTTGCTCCCGACTCCTAGCAACCCTGTAGGACAGAGTAGAACTGCCCCATAGGGTTTCCACGGCTGTAAATCTTCACAGAAGCAGACTGCCACATCTTTCTCCCATGGAGCAGCTGGTGGTTTCGAATCACTGACCTTTCGGTTAGCAGCTGAGCACTTTCACCAATACAGTGGACGTATAAATAATACCATCAAATATTTAATTTAGTTACATGGTGGTAACAGGAGATGGAGAATTCATGTTACTAAAAATTTTTTAAGAAAAAAATACACTATACAGTAAAACCCATGAAAGCCAGAACCTGTTTAAGGTGGAACCTTGTCAGAAAAGGAAAATGCAGATATTTTCCACTAAACAGAGAGTGATAGAAAAGTGGTGAATGCATCTTGTCAAAGGCGGAAAACTTGTGAGACCTGGAAAAACAAGGCAGTCTCGTGGAGTTCTGAATTTCACAGGTTTCACTGCATAATGAATGGCAGCGTGCCTGTTGAATTCCATTAATGGTAACCATGTGCAACTAGTAAGTTAAAGTTTTTGAACCCCAGGATGAAATAAGCTTGATGAATTTAGGATCAGACCTAGGTTTCAAATCCACTGTTCATTAGCTTTAAAATATTTTTATAGTACAGAATAGTTGTACAAGTAACTGCTTCTGGTAAAAAACCTATAAAAGGTATAAATTGAAAAGTGAAAGCACTGTTCCTCTCCTTCTTTCTCCTAGTTTCTCATGCCTCAGTGGTAACCATTGCTAAATGATTTTTTAAGTATCCTTCCAGAATTTGTTTGTATATATCCTTTAAATATATACACCAAGGACCGTACTGTGTATACTATTCTCCTGCCTGCTTTTTATCACTTAATATATTTAGAAAGTTCTTGGTATTACTATAAAGATCTGCCTTATGCTTTTTAATAGTTGTATACTAGTCCACTGTATGTATATTAAATAATTTAACTAGTCCTTTATGGATCAGTGTCTAGGTTTTTTAGTTTTTTTGTTTGTTTTTACTGTTACAGAACATGCTGCAGTGTATATTCTTACACCTTTGTGTGTGCATGCGTGCGTGCGTGCACGTGCTCATTTATAAGATAAACTCCTAGATAGGAAATTGCCAGGTCAAATTGGCAAGTTTATTATTATGTCTATTTTTAATAGAGTTTTTTATTTTGATATAATCACAAACTTACGAAGTAGTTGAAAGTATAGTACAAACAACTTTTTTCCCTGAACCATTTAAGAGTTGCCAACCTGATGTCCCGTTAACCTGTGAATACGTTAATGTGGATTTCTACAAAGACATAAGTACAATACAACCATCAAAATCAGGAAATTAGCACTGCTACTTTACTGTCATTAATCCTCAGATTCCTTTCAGGTTTCTCCAGTTGTTTCGGTAGTATCTTGACTCAGAATCATGGGTTGCATTTAATTGCCACGTCTCTTCAGTCTTCGTCAGTCTAGAGCTCTCATAATTTTGATACTTTTGAAGATTACAGGCCAATTATTTTGTAGAATATCCCTCAACTTGGATTTGTCTCATATTTCCACATGATTAGATTCAGTGCATCTTGGCAGGAATACCACAGTTGTGATTCTGTGTTCTTTTTGTTGCATCCTATCAGGTGGAACATGATTCTCATTTGTTCCATTACTAATGATACTCACTTTGAACACTTTAAGGTGGTATCTGTCAGGCTTCTCCACTGTGAAGTTACTCTTTTTCCCTTCAAAATTAATAAGTATTTTGTGGAAAAGGACTTTGAAGCTATGTAAGAGTAGCATTCTTTCAGCATCAAACTTTCAGTTTATTCATTTGCTTATCTATATCAGTATGGACTCATGGATTCTCATTTTATTCAGTGTGTTATGATTTGTTAAACTCTTACTTATTTTGATCTTCAAATTGTCCCGCATTTGAACATGGGGAACCTCTTTAAGCTGTCTCTGTGTCCTTTTTGACATTTGTCTATCATTCTTTGAGTATTTCTTAGCATTCTGGCACAAGGTGTTCCAAAATGATCTTGTGTTTTCCCTGCTCCAGCTCTGGAATTAGCTACTTCAACATGAGTTCCTTTTAGTGGTGAAAGTATTTAGAAGACAAGATCTGTACTCTGATTGTGTTCATTGCTTTTAAGATATCTCTGCTCCTAGGCCCTCTCAGTGGAAGGAACTAGGAAATGTATAAATGTTTATGTATGTGTGTGTATATATATACACATACACACTTTTACATCTGTCTGTAATCTGTCAAGGAGTCCTGGTGGTGGAATGGTTAAGCACTGGACTGCTAACTGGAAGGTTGGTGGTCATGGGAGGAAAGGCCTGGCAATCTGCTCTAGTAAAGATTTCAGCCCAGGAAACCTTATGGGGCAGTTCTACTTTATCTGATAGGGTTTCAATGAGTTGGAATCGACTGGATGGCAGCAGGTTTGGAGGTTTTTTTTGGTTGTTTGCTT